AAAAAAAAAAAGGTAACAAAACCAGGCTCAACTTTTCATCAAAGCTGAGTAGCAGGTGTGAATCACCGCTTTTTAACTTTTGCTTCATGGTGTCTGATGTTAAACAAATCCAACAATAGAAAGTAGACTGACTGTTTAATCTGACCATACATAGCAGTATGCATGGGTTAAAAAGACCACATAAGATTATGAGATTTAGACCATTTTGAAGAGATTCTGAGTGAGTTTTTAAGTGAAGCTGTACAAATAGCATCGTGTGGTATTGTGGAGCATTTTACTGTTTTGACAGATGTTTGATTTTTGTGAAAAGTTAAATAAGCTTATAAAAATATTTCATCCTTTTTTTCCCCAAATGTGCATGTAAAACATTACCAAAATTAGTATTTGCATGGTTTTTTTTTAAATTAGGTCTGCTGGGAAGTAAAAGAAAAGAAACTGTACAATTGTTAAAGCTTTTCACAAAATATTTTAATAAGGACATAACAGCTTCCACATTAGCAATTTTTTAAACTAAAAGGAGCTGACTCACAGTCCATTGAAGTGAATTACGATTTTTTTCTCTCATTTCGATGGGCTTTGAATCAGACAACTTTGGAATACTAAATTTATACATTCATTTAACAGTACCTAATTTCTGGTGAAAGAAATGTACAAAGTAGTATCCTGCTTTTTGCTGCTGACAAAAGTTAAAGGGTATAATTTAACAAAAACCTGTAGTAAGTCCACCACTGCAAATGCTAGATGCCTTAACTGTCAACCTTACACTTAACACTGTGCTTAAGCACCGTAGCTACCAGTACAATGCTACAGGTATGCTGCTACTAGAGATTTTTCCTAATCTCTTGCCAGTAGTTATAATTAATACAACCACAGTATTGTGCTAGAGAAGTGATTTGTCACAGCTACTGGGACACCTGCCACTGTGTGACACTGTTAACATAGGTCGTAGAAAGCAAAAAATATATCTGCTTATTTCAACACGGTCCGTACCGATTCTTACATCTGCAATAAGAGGGAGCAGGGATAGAAGGTTTTGTTTAATCAGCTGTCATTTACCAAACAAGAAAGCTGCATTCATCTATACGAAAATTGTTCTGTCATAACAGGAGAAGAGAGAAAATTCAAGAGAGAATTTTTGTAGGGGAGACAATGTAGATGAAAGAGTTAGAAAAAGTGACAACCTTTTCATCTGAAAAGGAGCCTTCTTGAACATCACCCATTTTAAATGCAACCTTGCAAGTAGCCACCACAGACGTAAGTACACAGTATAAATTGCTTCTGAGAAACACGTTCACAACACGGTGACAAGAATCAAATAAAAAAACAAAAAGACGTCTGGCACACACTAAAAAACGAGAATTCTCAGAAATGAAACATTAAGAAGCTCTGGGTCAGTATATTACATTGGCAACATATGAAACCTATTTTATTTTTTTTAGTGCAACAGAAGAAACTGGAGCTAGGGCAATAGCCATTATCAAACAGCTACTTTTTTGTCAAGTATTTATTTCAGAGCCTGATGGAGATCCCTCTTTTTCACTTGTAGGCTAAAGTGACTTTGCAGCCACCAGGTCATTCAAAACTGTCTCAGCTCCCTTCCCCGCTGTTTCATAGCTGATGGAGCAGGCGCAGGACAGTAGCCTCACAGTCTAGCGCTCCCTTTGAACTTTATTATTAGCACACTTTATTGTATGTGTGGACACATTCAAACATTTCCCAGCTCAGTGCTCCCCCCGACTCCCGGCACAGTGCTCTGCTCCCTGTGAGTCACGGGACTCTTTATCTCCTGTTATCAGCAACCTGCTGCACAGCTCTGAAACACAGCAATAATCAGATTTTTTTCTCCAAAGATCTTTTCTGCCCTGCTTCCCGTGAGTGTAGCACAGAGAGCAAGAACTCCAGTGAGGTGGAAGCTGTCTGCAAAGCAAAAGACAGCTCCATGACTATGCTGCTTCTTTTCTCCGGGCCTTTTTGCTCCTCACTTTCTTTTTTATTCCTGGGGTGGCAGAGGGAGGCTACTTGCTCCTTCCTGGGGGAGGGCAAGCTTTCCCGGCATTTCTGCTCTTTGAAGGGGAGGTGTGGACTGACGGCTGCTGAGCAGGGTCGCTTTCAGTCAGGGGGAGTCTGAGCCTGAATGCTGGGGCTTGACTGAGGCAGGCTCGACTCAGTGGCCTGGGAGGGTCCCACCAACCAAGGGGGAGGGCAACCTGTACAAAAGGTGAGGGGAGAGTTGCTGCGGGACTCATACAGCCACTCGTCAGACACAGAGAGAGGTGGCAGAGCCTGACTGCCAGACCCTAAGTTGACCCACGAGTGTGGCAATTTGCTTAGTGGGTGTCAAAGCACCAGCAAATGGACCCGCTCCCAAGGGAGGCAGACTCAGGGGGCATATGGGGCAGCAGATCAAGGACGGGGGATTTTCTTCACTCCTTCTTGTGCCAAACACTGCTGTTGGTGGGCAGGACCGAAACACCCTCCCTCCCGACCTCCCCATGCTACAGCCCTGCCCTCGCTCACCCTCCTGCTGGGGGGCAGTAGCGGAGCCGGGGTGCAGGAATGATT